GAATTCACCCAACCCACTTACCTGCACTAACAGCTTACTGTAGCTTACTTCATGAACATGAACATCCATTGTTAAATGCAAAACACTGTAGCAGAAAACTGTTGGTTGTGATATCTTAATTTTAATACGGGTTGAAGTTACACCTTGTTCTATTTTATGACTATACACTGCTTGTGGGCTGCACCTCATCATCCAGTCGAAACTGAAGGAAGAGGAGATCAGACAGGTGATTCATGTTACATTTCTCTCTAAACAATCACTTCACAAATTGTTTTCTGTAATCCATCAAAGCAGTAATGCCACTAATCAAATGCTACTAATCTAATATTAAAGATCTTATCCAGTTCCATCATTCCAAATTGTAATGTTAATTGTGATGCACTGCAGCTGTCTTCTTGAGTAGCAACACCAATAAAAATGGCTCGAACAGCAACTGTAATGAATGATGTTATTGCTGGACAGTATCAATTATTGAAAGATCAGGAATATATGATAATTGTGAAAACACATTTTTAATAGTTACTTTGATTAATGACGAAGAACACAATACCGGTATTTAGCTAAATATTTGTGTTGTTGCATATTTGCAACCTTCCAGAATGAAGATTTCAGTACCTTTCTTCACCTTTCTTGATGTCAAATGTAGCATCAGCAACTTATTGAATAATATAAATAACACTGCTCTGTGCGTCTATGGCAAACTTCAACTTAGTACATGCCATAAGAAACTGTTTTACTTAACGAAAGCCGGTAGGAAAAACAGTACATGAATAGTCAGACAGCTGTATAGTCTGTATCTTGCCTAGAGAGTTTAGAATCTGGTACATAAGCGGTGTATGTTGTGCAGTGCCATGCTGTGTCATCTCCACCTGAAAGAACTACACTTTATCATCAGGCTTCCTGCAGAAAGTTTCCCGCACTGTTATAAGATAACAAAAAGGGTAGAAATATATCTCTCCTTCCTTAGTTTCATACTACTGTTCTGTTTCCAGGTCTGTGTCTCTGTCTCTGTCATTGTATCGCCTCTTGTCTCCCCAAAATCCCAAATGCTTCACTTTCTGCAAACACTGAAACACCTATAGGATCTCCTTTCAGCGGTGCGCAAGAGCCTTGTAGTCTTTGTTGTGATTTAACAATGTTCGTCTGTGTGACCGTGTAAGTGTGTGTGTGTGTGTGTGTGTAAGACAGAGCGAGAGAGAGAGACAGGGGGAGAGTCTGGAGGCACTGTCTGTCCTGTGACCTGGATACAATGTGGACCCTGAGGAGTGTAGTTTTAGGAGCTGCAGATAGAAGCTGCACACTATGCAAACATGAAAACATAAATACATAAACACACACGGACACAAACACAATGAGATAATCTATAACTTCAGATGCTTTGCCTATTGCTGACTGATAGCATCCAACAGTGAGTCAGTACAGTACAGTTACTCTCACACAACAGTAAGTGATGTGATAGACCCTTCTGACAGCAACGACGACAATTATTCAATAGAAAGAAAAGCTGGATAGTTAGTATGAGTGGCAGGAAAAAACCTATACGCCACTTACAGAAATTAAAACTTCAAATTTAATCAATAGAAATCCCAAGTTAAGTACACATGCTAAAAAAAAACCTGACAATCTATGCGTCAAAACTGACACAAGCATTAGTTTTCTCAGATGGAGAGCACTGCATAATGACAAGCAACTTTAGAGTGACGTACAGTCGCCCCTTTTCTTTAAGATTGGTGGGTTCCTCCATCATCTGGACAAAGTACTCACTAAATGTCCTTATCTCCCATCTATGCTGTGATCTGAAATCATGATCCACTGAAGGAAGGTGAGGTGAAGCATCACTGACAGGTGGTGGAGGCAAAGTTTTCAATTTATAAATGGATCTGCTCTCCAATGTTCTCCTGCGGTTGTAGTGACTGAAAGAATGAGATCACAGAGCTGAAATGAGTTTCCTCTGCTGGGTGTGTGGGGGCACCCTACGGACATGGTGAACATCTGATTATGATGCCTCCTGGACCCCCCTGCAGTGTATTGAGGACACTGGAAGGTAACCCTGACCTGACCAAGAACACACACCGACGGGATTACGCATCTCACAAATGTGTTGGCAGCCCCTAAGAGGAGCTGGAGGTGGATGTGGCTGTGAAGAAGGATGTCTGAACTCCTGCTGAACTTGCTGCCTCTACCCCCAGACCCAAGTGGCGAAAAATAGATGGATGGTTGACACAATTGTATATTCACATCTTCACATAAAGCAACAAATCATACAGATGTCATACTTCCCAATATGGCCTAATTGTAGTTGCAAGGTCTTATACATAGTAAAATAAGTAGGGCAATCAACAAAAAAAAGGATTAATAAGAATGAATTTCCTTCAGAGATAATAAAACCAAATCACCAGTTTCATCATCAAGTCATGCCTAACAACTTGAGCTACCCAACAAAATGACCTCATGCATTCATAAACGACCTCCCAACTCTCTATTCCTGCTGTTGCTTCCATCAGCTCATTGTTCCATTGATTCCACCCGATTACTCTCATCTCACACCCTCTACTCTTTCTTTCTTCCTTCTGAACACTTAGATAGGCGTTCATTTTACTGGGAGGAGGAGCATGGCGGATGGGCAGGACTTTTATCTGAAAAGCAGCTATAAATAACCAGTTGGAAGAAAGAAGGAGAAGAGATGTAGAGTAGACAGAGATAAAGAAAGAGAAGGGTGGAGAGGGAGTGGGAGTTAAAATAGATCAGCTGTGGGCTATACAAATATTTGGTAAGCAGAGAGCTTTTGGTTAGAAGGAAATCAAAAACAAAGCGAGGCCTGATGCAGGGTGGACTGCAGAGTGCTGATGAATCCAAAGCAGAGGATGCCTTTAATGAAATGTTTCAACAAAAACAAAAACAAGCACATCCCGTTGTTCAAAGGTGACCTCTTTAACGCTGACTTGTGGCAACACTACTAAATGTCCCTGCTGTCTGTGCTCAAACCCAAGAACCTCCAACTTAAACGGCTGACACCGTTTGGGGTTTACATGCCTAGTTATTAGAGCTCTTGATTTTACAGGTTCAGGGATTCAAACCAGAAGACATCTTAAGACTTCTCTGACCTTTAAACAATTCTTCTTTCTTACCACCCTGACCTCTTTTCATTTCCTTCCTCCATATGCTGATGATGTGGTTTTAAATGTTACTGCTAGGGTCAGATGGGATTACAATACTCAGGCTTAACATGAGAAAGGAATGGAGGAAGGGAGGGAGAAAAGAGAGAAGCTACAGCTTGTGTGATTAGAGCTTGTGAGACACAAGTCATTTTTAGATGAGGGTGACTGCAAAGGGTTAAGCCCAACTGGACTTAATGGTGATTATACAGAGCCTAGACAGAAAGTACGGTTAAGAAAAATACATGGGTGTGTGCGCGAGTCTTTTGAAGCTCTTACCCAACGTCTTACTATTTCTGACCCAACAAGTGCTCAAACACTCTCTAAGAAACACTCACAAACACACACACAGCCAGAACAATCAGTATGCATAGACAATCACAGCCCTAACCCCTTCAGCTATCTTATCTTCATCTCTGAGGCCAGATAATCCACATAGGTCCTTCAATAAACACATACACACACATACGCACACACATCCACATCCTGGTGTCCATGGTGCTTACGTCCTAGCACATGCTGTAGTGATTTTTAAAGGGGCTGGCTTATCAGTCGCAATGTCCGTAAACTGAAGAACACACTCACCTTAGCTGTCTTCTCTCCCAGTCGGTGCTCCAGTAAACTGGATGGTAATCACTTCTTCATTATACTACAATGTCATATATTCTTATTGCTCAGTGCAAATCATTTTAAAACTCTATATCCTGCAGCCAAGGGCAGTTTTCCACAGTGTTATGAATGTCGGAATGTCAGCAATCACATTCATTTATGCTTCATTTATGTTTCAGCTAATATCTTAAGATTTATGAATGAGACGATTTAATTCATCTACTTTTGCAAACTCTACATTTCTTTTTTTCTGCGAGTATGAGGATGAGAGCTGTTCTTTAGAGGTTGCAATGTTAAAATTATTTTTGAATATGTGTATCAGTCTTAAACCGTAAAGCCCAAATTATTTATTTATTTTTTTTTAAATCATTGTAAATAAAGATAAAAAAATATAGTACATTTCTTTTAGTTTGCAAAAACATGAGCCTCACTATAAACTCTAATAGTGGAAAATATACCATATGAATGGGGCTACTGTTTGTAAGGGAGATATTTTTTTCCCAGCGTGAGAACATGTTATTGCAAGTACGGTAATTTCACAGTAATTTAGTGAGTAAATCCATCCTCCGTGTCTGAAAAAAAACCCCAAGACATTTATAGTTTTGAAAGCTAAACAGATTTACATAAGCCATTTAAGTATGCATCTTGAGTTATTAGTTTCCAATCAATTTCACTGGAATACTATAGTTAGTATAATCTCATCAAAATGTGTAATGTTACATGACATATTTAAATGTGGATAAATGAAGTGAGTGTGAGAACTAAGAGGATGTGGATTTTCATGAAATCTATGATTCTCGATTTCCTGAAACCAGGGTAATAACAATGCAAACAGCGATTGTATGTATGCAGCGTCTGCATGTGGACACACTGAAACTGTGTGCCTCTGCACTCATGGCTCATGAAGTGAGGCATAACACTGAAATGATTAGTTGGAGTGGGGTTCAGGGCCTCCTTGACAACATTCCAAGGGATCCCCCTGCCAAGTAAGGATTAGTTTAATTTCAGCCCTATCTCATTCATTTACTAGACATTATCTTAAATAAGGTCCTAGAGGAACGACAACTTCCTACCTCATTGTGTGTATATTCCAAAATGAAACGATAATGATGAAAACATTATCTAAATATCTCACCCTTACACCCTTTGTTTTTCTTTGGAACACTTGAGGACACCTAAGACAAAATATTATTAAGTGGAGCGCAGGTGAGATTGTGTGTATTGTTATCTTCCTACCTGCCACTGGTGTTGCGGAGGACCACCAGGGCATCAGGGAAGCCGTCCAGGTTGTAGTCCCCGAGGTGCAGGGCCAGGGGTTGGCTGGGTTTCGCTGGCACAAAGCTCCAAACCGTTTCCCTCCGCTGGAAATCCGACAGCACTGATACCCACTGCAGCAACATCCGAAAAGAAATACACCTCAATCAGAATGAATCAATACAACAGGGGATAAACTGTGAATAAGCAATGCAAAAAGTTATCTTAAATCTTAAACTTTGTTGATGCTACTTCTAGGGAAAGTTGTATCAACAATGGAATGGAATATAGGTGAATTAATTCATTATAAAAAAGGATATTTATTTTTTTTACCAAGCTTTGTTCTGCACATCTATTTGTATCTTTTTATAAATTGTTTTTTGAGATTGTAATACAATGAGAGCAACATATAACGGGAGTCAAATTCTGTGTATGTGTATGTGTACACATACTTGGCAAATAAAGATGATTCTTCTAATTGTTAAGTAACCCAATTACTGTTTTTAATAGATTTTAAGTAAACTAAGTCGATTTGAAGTCAAGGCCATTAACCTGTTCTTAAGATCTGTTGTTTGCATTTGAACATACTTTTTGGCTAATGACCTTTTAACACTGGCATCCAGCAGATATGCATGTTTCTGCTGCACTTTCTTTACATGTATCTGTGACTTCCTGAGCAGGAAGACACAAACACTACAAAATGCAACCAATAATCCCATATACACAGTTACAGTGTTGAAGCAAGTAGAAGCAAGCAGTGTTGACCTCTTCACCAAGGTTAGCAACCAAATACTAACTCAATATAAAATTGGTCTGCATTTACATTTGGATATTTCTGGCCCTTTTTGGAAGAAAATAGGCAACCCACAGTGAACTTCTCAGATAGACATGCAGGCCACAAAACTTATATCATTGCTTGCACCAAGGGCTCAGATCAAAATTACTCAAACCATGGCATGGCGCTTACACATTCATGGGTATTCCAATGTAAGGGGGAAAAAATAACATCATTGAAATTTGACCTAAGCAATGACAAGCTGAAAAAGAATCTAAAACTATCACCAAATGTTTACCTCAGTGGACTGAGAGCAATTGTGCGGGGGACTGACATTACCAACAACAATCCCAACAATCTTTTTCAGTGCTGGTAGAGCACTCAAATAATACTTCTCCATGGTGGTCTCACAGTGGCTAGTTTTAGCACTTTAACTACAAAACATTTTCCAAGATGACTTTGTGTAAAACTTAACACTAAAGTCAAGTAATTATATGACTGAAGTTCAATACAAATTGTGCACCTAGATAGAAATCTCTCATCTGAGTGCAAACTGAGACTCCTGCAATACTTTTCACATTTACTAGAAAAGCATTTACTTGAAAAGTAAAAAGCAAATCACATTATTTGCTAGAATTTGAGACTTACAAATGCTCAATTTAGCAACTTCTCTTCTCAGTGCGAGGATATTGTTCCAAAACAAAGCAAAATAGAAAGCAAAACAAAGGGCCACAATATGACTAATCTAATCTGAACTGAACAAAATATAATCAAAGAAACCAATCCAAAATTGACTTAGACCAATAACACATTTCAACTTCATTATTAATTATAATTTGTCCTAATGTGAAACTACAGAGCTGGGTTTTAGAATCAGGTGCTGTGTGTGTGCTCGTAGCCTGCAGTCTTGCCTTTAATGCCATTCTCTTTACACATCAGACATGGGTACTGAAGAAGCCCTCCCACTTTTTTAACCAAACACAAAGGAAGCATCTTTCCCTCATCTTAACAATTCAAATGTCGAGGTAATAGGGCCCTCAAGGGGGTCTTGCTGTAGTATTGCTACTGACTGATGTATTCGGAAGGAATACAACTGAAGAGGTACACATAGTAAACTATACCACACAACAACACGCTGCTTTAAAAGACCTCGTCGAGACTATTATCATCTCTGGTTTATTGCAAATGCTATTTCACTTAACAGCTGCATCATTCCTCCATACTAGCACTGGTTTAAACCTTGACTCTCATTTACATGTCATTCGCTGTCTTTCTTTCTGTCTTCCTATGATTCCACCAAATACTGGTGACTGAATGCAACAGAAAGAAATAAGCTATTACTTGTCATTTTACAAAAGAAAGGCTTATTGTCACTGCCCATATATTCCCAGTGAATTCATTTTAATAGAGTTCTAACCAGTGACAGACATGATGGTCTCCCTGCTTTCATTAGTGTCTTTACAGTGAGTCATTGGGAAGTGGACTCCTGTGAATAACATATAATACAAGAGAGGGAGAGACAGAGAGAGAGAGCGCATTATCATCCCTAAATCTCACCCTATCACCATCATGGGCAGCAATTCCTGGCTAGCATGTATCACCAGTCAGTACAGGATGTTCAGGTCGGTACATGAATTGTTCTGACTGGTGCAGCCTATGAATAAAACAATTACAGTCTTTATTACTCTAATACAGTCTGATTATAGTCTAGGTCTTGCCACATGTGAAATATGGACTTAACTGCCAGTTTATTAGGGACACCTGGCTAAAACTAATGCAGTCTAATACAGCAGTTCTGGAATAAATCCTGCCCTCATGAAAGGTGATGTTTTTATTTTAGAGAGATGCTGATCCAACTTTATGATCATTTTGGAGAAAGTAACCTGTGGTGGCGTTATACAGAGAGGTGTATGTGTCATTTAGCCTACACTCACTGATATAAATGACGTGGACAAAATAATAGAAGCACCTGTTAATATAACACACTACAATTCAAAAGCACCACAAACTGCAGCCACTAAATATAGAGCAGGCCAAGAACAACCAATGCTGGAAGAAGGTTTATCACTGTATATATGAGATATATAGACATTTATGTTTTTTGATAAATCATAACACTCTGGATTTGAATATTCTTCTTTATGTCCTCGAGTATTAGTCAAGGCAATACAATTCCTATAGTAATGAAATTGTATTGCATACACAATAAAAGTCTAATTCCACTGGAACACTTTCTCGTTGGCTCTGGTTTTATAGATTTGAAGAATGCATTTTGACACTAAAAACGTATAAAGTAAATAACCAGTTTGTATCCCTTTTTGTGTGTGTGTGTGTGTGTGTGTGGATCGCAGAAAGGCGTGGGGCCAGATGCTGGAGGTTTAAACTATTCATGAATGTTAAATAGAGAGAGCAGGTGCAGGGGGGAGTCACCAGAGAGACACTCACCAGAACTGCCACTAATAGCTCTTAATATGACCAGCATGTCTGAGAAAGACAACCACAGCCTATTACCAATTAGTCTGAAATTTATCACACAAGCTGTGATGCCACTGATGTAAGTTTGCTCCAAACCAGCTGTGCACACTATGTGAACACAGGTACTGATGCACACTGTGGCCTGTTGGTAGGGGTGGCAGGTGTGGTAGTGGTGATAATGGTTGTAGGTCACTTTAATTATTTGGCAAAAGAATGCCAAGTTGCTGATTTTTTTAGTCCTAATCAATAATGGTAAGCTAACTGAAGATTTCACAATGGCAAATTCAAGACTTTTTCAGCTTAAAAACACTGATGATTTTTGGTTGACCATTCCTAATGGAAATAACAAAAGACTACAAATGAGCACAGTAAGCAAACCCAAGCTGCATGGCAAAATAATTCAACATCTTTCATTCAGCTTCATGTAGCTGTGCAAAGTGCAATGCAAAACAATGAAAAATACATGAAACTGCCAGCAGAAACACTATTTCTGCTGTTTTATTTTGAAAGGCAGTGCCTTTTAATATTACAGTAAAATTGATCTAGTATAATTTAATCAAACTCTAACCGTCTTTTCACTTTAGGGCCTTAAACAGAAATAGCGTAGTTTAGGTCCTTAGGTTATAACATGAAGTTACTTGGTCTGACTCTGTGTAGGCAGGAGCGAGTTGAGGACGATAGTAATTATGCTCCTCTACATATAAATGGTGTCATAAAAGCAGGGGAGTGATAAACCAAGATCCAGGTTGAATATTTTTCAGAGGATAAGAGCGAGCTCAGACCTTTAATGCAACACTGCTGAGTCAAGTTCTCATTAAATGACCGTTGAGTGATGTTGCAATGCGGTTTAAGAGGCTGACTGCCTGCCATATGGGTGTAAAGCTTGGCTATGATTACTGCCATCCAGAGTGGATGGGAGTGCTGGAAATGACCACTGTGCGGTGGCTGGCAGTGAGAAGTGAAGAGAGAGTGAGACCGGAGAGCTTCCTGCCAGCCCATTTGTGGTCAGTGAACACAATGCTAGACATGGATGCACATAATGGTACGCTGTCCCATACACAAATATGCACATTTGGACACATTTATTATTTGGATAAAATGATTTATAGTTTTTGTAGTGAGGCTCCATCTGAGGAGATCTGTTGATTCTGAAAGTAACCAATGAAAGTAAGGCTGTGTATTGCCAAGAATCTGGAGATACGATACATTTTATGATATAGAGGTTACGATTCAATATATAGCAATATATTGCAATTTTTAATTTTTTTTTAACGAGGAGTGAGATCTGCATTTTTACTGATCACAGTACATGTAACATCTAACATCATAGCCCTCAGTTTACAACACTGTTATCTAGTGGTTGGAGGTTTAAATATAAAAATGAGAGAGAGACTGTCAGAAACTGTCAATTCTCACAACAACAGGGACAACAACTCCTCTAGCAGCTAAATGTGTATCCGCCTGCCACAGCCTGAGAGAGAGAGAGAGAGAGAGAGAGAGAGAGAGAGAGAGAGAGAGAGAGAGAGAGAGAGAGAGAGAGAGAGAAATTAGGTCTCGATCTAAAATGACAGAGCTCATTAGATAATACACTGATTTTTAATCCAATTGACACTTGGTTTAAATCCAAAATCCAATATCCATTGAAGATAAACAAAGCTATGCATAAGAATACACTTGCCATTTGACATGGTTTGAAATGGTAAAAGATGTTGATCTAATAAGTGGGAACTGCACATTAGATCCCTTGCCAGCAGATATTCTGATAGAAGGTGGTCATGTTTTCAAATGGTAGCTACATCTTCAATCTATTACCCTCTGTCTCTCTCTCTCTCTCTCTCTCTCTCTCTGGACAGAGTGAGGCCTTCGCTGGCCGCCAGCCTTATC